TCTGTGTTAGTTTGCTGAGGATGATGGCTTCCAGTTTAATCCATGGCCCTGCAAAGGACATGATCTCATTCCGTTTTATGGCTACATCATATTCCATGCTGTATGTGCACAGAGAGAAAAAAGTCTTTATCTAGTCTATAATTGATGGGCATTTGGATTGTTTCCATGTCTTTGCTATTGTAAATAGTGCTGCAATAAACATACGAGTGCATGTGTCTTTATAGTAGAATGACTTATATTCCTTTGGGTATATACCAAGTAATGGGATTGCTGGGTCAAATGGTATTTCTGGTTCTAGATCCTTGAGGAATCACCATACTGTCTTCCACAATGGTTGAACTGATTTACATGGGCTCCTTTTTCTTAAGATAAATGTGCACAAAGACCTGATTACTTCCATTTTACATAAACTATGAAAAGACCAGGTTCCATGAAACCTATGGAGTGCTCGAACGGGGGTCATTCTCCTTGTTTTCTCCTCATTCTTAGATTATTTGTTTCCCAGTTTTCTTCTTAAAAAGAGGAACTGAGCTGAGGCCTAGAGGTTTTCTGTGGTGGATCAATATGTGCTGCTTGTGGGCAGGACTCCACACTGGGTCACCACTGAAAATAACAGTTCAGTTCCTCATGCAAATACACACAGACAAGCTGAATAGAGCTTAATTTGGGGAGAAAAAGCAACAGAGAAGACACTTTAGAATGCATCTCTGAACTAGAATTAGGATCCTTAAATAGCAACTTCCTAGAAGGAAAACAAAACAACAGCCAAGACCACTTTTTGTAAACTGCGCTCAGCCACCCCTTAACTTTGTGGCTCTCATCTACTATTACACACAGCAAGGTCAAAGCCAAAGAGGTCAGGTCATGCGATACAGGAAAGCAGAGGTTTAGACTTAAGAAGAATCTACCCATGACTCTTGAAACTCCACAAAGAAAACAAAACACCCCAAAAGGGGTGAGTGGCAACTTTGTTCTGAATTCTTTAAGGGGGTTCAAGTCATTAGAAGACTTCTCTAGATTTGTTGGTACTGCAGATGGCAAAGAGGGAAAGAGGTATAGGGTGGAAGAAAAGTAAATAAAAGAACATTTGTTTTTTAAGACAGGAAGCAAACACAGAAACCAAGTGCATGTTTTTTTGGTTCTTTTTGTTTGTTTTCTTCTTTCGCAGCTGCAAGGAATTTTGGCCAAATTAGAGAGGCTTTGTTACCCATAATTTTGAATTCTCACTTGGATTTGACCAAGTCAGGTAGACTTGGTTAAGTCTGATGGGAGAAAGACCAAAACAACCAACAAAAAATCCAGCAATAGGATCACCAAGCACTCTAATGATAAGGAGAAATTAAGACCAGCAGGTTGTTAAACTTTAGCCAAGACAAAGCCCCAGTTCAGCTACTTACCTAGGGATGGGTCTCAGGCTGAAGACTGCTTTCTACCACCGTAGAAGCAGGAAAAGCACTAAAACTGGTCTTCCCTGCTGGGAGTGAGCTCAAACGCTACATGCCTTTCATCATCATGGAAGCAGGAAATCTTGCCTTCTTTGTAAAGGAAGTAAAAGTAAATCTTGCCTTCCTTATAAAGGAAGTAAAAGCTAATCTTGCCTTCCTTGTACAGGATGGCAAGTAAGCAAGTAAAACTCCAAAAACAAAAATAGGTGGGGGAGTTGTACAGCAAAATAAACTTTAGATCTTCACCAAATTTTGGGAGATCAGGGATTCTTTGCGGTGGGTGCTCCCAGACCTCAGCAAATTGTCCTATTGGTTTGAATCATAAAGTTAGCTCATGCTATTACCAGGCACCAACAGGATATTTATCAAAGGTCAGGGGCATATCCACTCAGAATCCCTTCATGATTACCAAATGTGAACCCTGAAAAACTGGGACAGGTCTCGGTTAATTTAGAAAGTTTATTTTGCCGAGGTTGAGGACGCTCCAGTGATATTGCCTCAGGAAGTCCTGACAACATGTGTGTAAGGTGGTCAGTTCACAGTTTCGTTTTATACATTTTAGGGAGACATGAGACATCAATCAACATATGTAAGATGAACATGGATTTGGTCCAGAAAAGGCGGGACAACTCAAAGCAAAGGCAGGACAACTTGAAGCTGGAAGTGGGCTTCTAGATCTAGGAATCCAACTTACAAGGGATGTAAAGGACCTCTTCAAGGAGAACTACAAACCACTGCTCAATGAAATAAAAGAAGACACAAACAAATGGAAGAACTTTCCATGCTCATGGATAGGAAGAATCAATAATGTGAAAATGGCCATACTGCCCAAAGTAATTTATAGATTCAATGCCATCCCCATCATGCTACCAATGACTTTATTCACAGAATTGGAAAACACTACTTTAAAGTTCATATGGAACCAAAAAAGAGCCCATATTGCCAAGTCAATCCTAAGCCAAAAGAACAAAGCTGGAAACATCACGCTACCTGACCTCAAACTATACTACAAGGCTACAGTAATCAAAACAGCATGGTACTGGTACCAAAACAGAGATATAAACCAATGGAACAGAACAGAGCCCTCAGAAATAATACCACACATCTACAACCATCTGATCTTTGACAAAGCTGACAAAAACAAGAAGTGGGGAGAGGATTCCCTTTTTAATAAATGGTGCTGGGAAAACTTGCTAGCTATATGCAGAAAGCTGAAACTGGATCCCTTCCTTACACCTTATACAAAAATTAATTCAAGATGGATTAAAGACTTAAACGTTAGACCTAAAACCATAAAAATCCTAGAAGAAAACCTAGGCAATACCATTCAGGACATAGGCATGGGCAAGGACTTCATGTCTAAAACACCAAAAGCAATGTCAACAAAAGCCAAAATTG